GATAAAGGATTAACGTGATCGTCATTTCGCGATATATAAATTTGAAATGCCATAATTTAACTTGATCGACATTGATTCACCTAGCCAGCTTCCATCGAACTCGTCTAATAAATTCATGAGACCTTACACGAATATTCTATGCTTCCATCCATCTCGATTGCTCCTGAATCACAAGAATCGAAAGTTCCATTAAGCGTTTCCAGAAAATTTATTCAGTTTTAACTAGTTCGTCTCTATATCTGTAGAACTCGAAAGAATAATAACTAAAGATTATGTGAATCTCACCTAGATGTGTAATCTTTCAGTAGGCGAAATATCTTAAGTTGGATCAAGATTCGGAATTTGATCAATCAAAAAGAGATCTTCCCATCTCCTACTACGATGATTAATCAATTTCGAATCTTCAATTTTCGATCTCAATCTTCAATGCAATAATTTGATGCCGATTTTTCGCAGTATTTAAGCTGAGCTGTCACGAAGCAAAATCGGCGATTTCTAAGCTGAAAGTAGAAAAGGAAATTGCCGTGGTGCTTCCTTTTGCAGCAATTATGGGTCTGTGCGCGCGTATATGTATAGAGGGACCGCTTTTTTTTCGTGATATTTCCCCTTTTCGATTATCCAGCAGAGTCCCGGCGACGAGTGGAGGCTTACGAGAAAGAAAACAAAGAAATATAGTGCCCTTTTCTTCATCTCCTTCACCTTTCTCTCTCATGTTAATATAGCGGCACACCACTCAGCAACGCTCAGCCGGCACAAGCATGCAATTCTCAAACATCCTCTACTAATCAATCTTAAAATCACGAAGGCTGCGTGAGTCTCATTTTTTTTATTTTTTTTTTTTTTTTTGCTGGGTGGGCAGAAGTGTGTGCGTGTAAAAAGATAAAAATTGGAAGAATTAAAGTACACCCTTGGCTCCGCTTGAAAGATATAAATGCCTCGTGTGTTTGTGGGTGCTCGAAGTATAAATGTCAGTATATTTGTTGGGGAGACCGACCACTCGAGCCATATCGAATTTTTTAAATAATCGTGAAAGCAACTGTACATATTTTTATAACTGAAAGAGGATTCCTTCGTTTCCTCAAAAACAAAAAAATCGAAGAATTATATAGAGAGTAATATTATTAGAATCATGTTACGTATAGTTTTAAATAAATATGTAGTTTAAAGGCAAAGTGAAGAATTTCGAATTAAAATTATATATAATATATATCAATTTTTAATTATTTGTTAATTTGACAATTCGATCGGCTCGTATCGATCTGCTCCGATTTTCTTTATAGTGCATAAAGAATATTGTGCGTCTAATAATATATACACAATCAAGTAATTGAATTTACCATTTATTTCTTTTATATAGAGTTTATTTTTAAGACATCAGTAATTTCTTAAAGTACATATTACGATCAAAGAGTTCCCGAAATGACGTTGTAAGAGATAATTGGCTAATCTGAAATCTTATTTATGAGTATCTCTTTCAAGCTAGAGAGTCTGTCTCTCTTTGAACTTCAATATATATCTTTTTCAACGTCGCGTTCTCATTTCTTAAACAGTATTCCTGGAAGTTTTTCTTTTATGCCGTTTTATAAGACATTCGTCGTTTTGAATCTCCATCCACGTCGTCAGATCCTTTGAAGGCTTTCTTCAACTTTGAGAAAAATCGCACGAAACGTAACCATGATAGCTCATGCACAATTTTTCTCTTTTTTTTTTTTTTTAGAATTGAAGAAAATTATCAAAAGACCGATTGACGAGACATGACTGAGATTGAGAAACCAGAACGATGAATGTCTTAAACGACAATCACACGAAAAGACTTAAGCTTCAACATTTTTTATGCACTTTAAATATATATACGTAAGTGTATGTAGATTTGTGCGTGATTGTTTTCGTTGCATAGCGATATATAATCAAGTCTCGAGCAAGTCAGCAAAAAGTCTCTTGATGGCAAAAGGAAGAATATAGATATAATATAAAAGGGATATACAATGTATCGTGTGTCCAGCTGATAGGAGCAAAAAACGAAAGCCGAAAGAGCAAAGGCATGTTAGGCCTTGCGTAAAGCCGCTTTTTTTTTTTTACACTCCAACTATACCCGATCTGCTTTTGAGCTATCGTCTCATCTCCCCCCGGTCGCTCATCCACTATGTATATATATGTATGTTCATATAATACTATATTACATATTGACGTGGCACGGATCTACTACGATGAGATCAAACGGAGTAACCGAGACCATAAGTAGGATAATGCTGTGTGATTTTTTTCACGTAGGGATAATTAATTATTACAAAACTGTCAAAATCTAGTGGAGTATACTGAAAAAAAATTGTTAAATTATAAATATTTATTTCAATACTGCCCAATCGAGCATTTATTTGAAACAAATAAAGATTTATCTCGAAAAGGATTTTTTATATCAAATATTTTTCGTATCAAATCAATATTATTAGTTTGAAATAAATGATTTATTAAGCAGTATTGAAATAAATATTTATTCGAATTCAATAAATTTTTTTCTCAGTGTAGTTATTCGAGGGATCGGATTTGCAATTCGAAAAATATTAAAAAATGATGGCCACTAAACATTTTTTTTGGTCATTCTTAAACAAGTTATTCAGATTTTAATTTACTCTCTACTTAATCTTCTTATAGATGTTTTCTTTTCATAATTATAGGAGCATGTGTGTATTATTGTATTGTTTTAATTATTTCCATGATTTTTGAAAATATGATTTCTGGCAAACAATTTCCGATAAAAAATTAAATTAAACGAGATATATAGATCACGACTCAATTCGATTCTGAAAGAAAAAGGATATATCGAATCAACATGTCGATATATATTGAAGCGACAGAGAATCGCATGAAAGAAACTTTCGCGGCGGAAAATCGTATCACGCATCAACGTACGTCTATATGTATGTATGTGTGTGTGTGTGTATATGTTACAAAATTGTTTTGTCTCTTTGTAATAATTCTGAATAAAATCGTACGAATATACGTACGTAAAAATAAAAAAAAAATCGGTATAATATTTCTCGAATTGTTTTTGTTTTTATGGTCAATAGTCTAACGATAACAGTATTTTTTTTGTCAACTTTTCACAAATGCGAAATAACAACAGCGTTCTCCTTGTTCTGACGCTATCGACAAATGATACCGATGATGTGATTTTTGCGTTTCCTAGGAACTTTATTCAATATTCAAAAATGACATGCATATATATAATATTATATAATATATCTGTTGATGTAACGCTCTCACGATTCAGATTATATAATAGGAGTCATGCTATACATCTAGAGAAACATCACATTTCTCATAATTAAATCATCGGGAACTGTCACTAAGGAACTTCTTTCATAAATCGAAGATGTACTATACACCGTCTAGTATATTGAAACATAAATGGCTTTATACGTAACGTGTAGACAGTGTTTGGTTGAATCGAGAGAGCCTTTCAGATCAATTTCAAATAAAAGCTCGCTCTTGCGCGCTTTTCTAAAAGTTTTCAAGTACTTGGCGCGGCTTTGAAGTAGCAAAAGAAAAAGTGATAAATATATAAACCATATAATCTATGAAGGATTATCTCTCTATATTCCATCAATGAATCTTTTCAATTGATAAAAACCTATTTTTTTTTCTCTTCTCTTCTCGTTACGTGATAAATTTTCTAATACGCAATTTCAATAAAAAAAAAAAAGTTTACAATATTCAACATTTATAAAATACTATTTACAAAAAAAAAAGAATAGAAAACCATCAACTTATACATCAATAACGCGACTATTCAGCATCGGTTCATTAATGAACGAGCTACGTCAATATAAAAAAAACTGGACAACAAACACGAAGAGTCAAATCAAGTGGCCTTTGATAATAAAGGGGTGTACTGACGTAATACAATCTTATATAAAGGGGAACACAAAAAAAAAAAAAAAAAAATAAAGAAACGCAACCGTGGCTCCAGTGAGAGGTTTCGGGGAGAGTGTCGAGACAAGAAACTCAATTATGAGTAAGTTTTACACGCCAAAAAACAGCTTGTTTTACAGGGGGGGGGGGCAAAGGGGGGAGGGTACCCAGAGGTGCATCTGTCAGAGAAAACAACATTCGCCTCGTGCTCGCGCCACTCCGACGATTATTTTCCCACGTGTCGCTGTCGATCGATATACGTCGAATATCGAGACGTGCTCTTTAATTGGGTTCGTTAATTCCGTAACTTGGCGCGGAATAATCATCGATCCGACATCGATATTGTATCGCGAGCTGGGATTATCTACACGAGAGCTTTCTGCGACGATCATTGATGAAACTTAGGTAAACCCGAGTTACGTATACAATATGATCATACAGAAACGTGTACAGAGAGGTGCGCAAAAAAAAAAAAAAAAAAAAATCAGTCAAAGTCACGTGATAAAAATTCCAGTGTGCACATAATATTTGATTGAATTGTAAAGCGAGAAGCTCCTTTCAAACGCATATGTTCTCCCTCTCGAAAGACAGTCGTGTTCTTCCGTTTAAGATCACTTAGATGGACAATTATGTGCTCGCGAAAACGATCGTTAATCGATTACGAAGCTGACTGCTCGTTTCGCAACAGAGCGGAAATAATCGTCGAAGAAGCTGCCGAGATATCGAGCAAAGGCGTACTTAAGTAGCAAGTAATCGTAATAGAAGTATAGTAATGGAATAATATGGTAATAATGGTGAATATTATATTTTTTCTGGCTGAGATTGCATTAAAAAATGTGTGGACAAACGGATGAATAAATGTCGAAATCTAATCTTGATAGAAAGAGAGAGAAAGAGAGACAGAAAGGGTAGGAATTTTCGAAGGCTAAATTTTGGTTTAGAAAATAGGGCTAAATAGGGAAGAAGGAGAAGGAGAGTACCAATTGATAAAACATTATGCCACTCTAGTGTATAATATACTACAAGAGATTCGGAGGAGAGCTTTTGTTTCGGGGCCATCTCGGTCTATCGGGGCCCGATAATCCTACCTTGAAGAGCTGTACGCCAATGACGGCGAACACGAACTGCAGGAGGCTGGTGACGAGGACTATGTTTCCGATAGTCTTTACCGCTACGATGACGCACTGTACTACGTGCTGGGTTCACAACATTAATTCATAATATATATTCGCCCTTCGGGTGAGATGGAGAGATGGAAATTATCGCTTAGCGTATTTATATATTATATGTATGATGTATATATTGTTTATTGGCGACGAGTTCGAGTAGCTCTCTGGAAAATCCGGATCTCTCGAGATCTTTTCAAGTTTCATTAAATAGGACTTTTCGAGATTACATTTCTATAACGAAAGAATAGGTTCTTTTGAATGAGAGATGAAGGTCTTTTCGAAATTGCTACGGAGATTTTTTTGTTAATCGGCTAGAAAAGGAAAATCGACGAATAATATTTCTTTTATCTTTTTGTGTAGAAAAAAATAAATAAATCGTTTTGCGCGGGAAATAACTCGTTCGCGCGATTTTTCTCTTCCAAAATTAACTCGGCGCTCTTCCACCATTTGTGTACATTTGAATAATCGCGACTTGGCATGGCAATCAACGTCGGGCTAACGGGAGCGTACTCTTTAATTTAGCTAGCTGTGGACATTACGGTATATTATGCCTCTGGCGTTACGTATCTACTGTAAGGACGCGTATATGCTTTGTGAATCGGGCCGGTTTTAGCGGACTTGCGGATAGGTGAGACAAATGAAAGAGATACCTTTAATCCCTTCGCTCGATTGATGGCACGCAACGGCCTCAGGACACGAAGTACTCGGAGCACCTTGATGAAGGAGAACGCGCCGGAGCTGTAAATATATATATAAAGGTGTACAATAAATTGTTGTATTAATGTCCTGAAAAAAAAAATTATTAATTTCATGAATATTTCTTTCAAAATACTGCTTAATAAATTATTAGTCTTTCAAATAAATGATGATTTATTAGGCAGTATTGAAATAAAATATTTATTCGAATTCAATAAATTTTTTTTGGCGTATAGAACAAGCGCAACGTAAGAAATAACATCTAGAGCTTTAGCTTTCAAACAATCAAACTGTTTTCGACAAAATTTTATTTACATAATATTATCATTTTGAATAATTAATATTACCTATGATGGTGAAAATTGCACGATTATAAATAGATATAAAATTATTCATGAGATTCTTAATGAAAAATTAAATTGACAATTATAATCATAAAAAAATTACATGTAAGATTGGGTTGGAAAATATATAAATATATATACCTGACAGACATGGACACGAGAGAGGCGCAAACGACGAGAAGATCGAGCAGATTAAAAGCCGACCGGCAAAACGCGCCCTCGTGGATGATGAAGCCGTACGAGATCATTTTGAGGCAGATTTCAATCGTGAAGACAGTAGTGAAAAAGTAGTCAAAGTAGTTCAATATCTGTAACATGCCGGACGTTTATATACACCACATTTATTTCACTGGCCTTTTTACATTGATACTTAGACAGTTTTGCGGATAAAGTTTTGAAAGAACATCGCAATAGCGTTGCCAAAAAGAAAGAAAGTAAAGAAACGAATCAAACATCGATTCATCTTTCGACGATTTAAATTACCTGATTTCTGTCCGATGAAGCTCTCAGTGGATCCTCGGCGGCCAACATAGCGGAGGAAATCATGATGCAGACCAGTATCACATTGCTGAAGTAACTGTGATTGCAAAACCAGTGGCAGAAGATGCGAATACTGCGAAAAGAAATAATCACAAACGATCGAGATGAATTGTTTGAAAGAGAGACATCCCAAAAAATTGATAAATTAATATCAAATAATTTTATTTTTTTTCTATTGAAAAATAAAAATATTTAAGAAGCTTCTGTATACCTATTATTACTTGAAAAGATGAAGAATGCCGAACCAGCTGGTATTGGTTCCTTTTTATTAGCCACGTTGTATTCTGACATTCTTCGCGGCCTGGCCGATACTTCTTGTCCGTCTTCTGAAAGAGAATTTATCTCTTCTTTTATAACTATATAAATATTCGATTCAGTATTTAGCATTTCTATAGCAGAAATATTCAGATCTTCAAATTATTAGATTACTCGAACAATAATTTTTTTTTCCATTATTCTTGAAACATGCGATTTTCTAAGGAAAATAAAAGTACCTTGCATTTCCTCCTGTTCACCTTCCTCTAATTCCTCTTCCTCCACTTCTTCATCAGATTCAATCTTGAGTCGCACTTTGTGCGTATTCATGTCCTCGCTTTTTCCGATCTGCAATCAGCGATAATGATTCAACATAAATTAATGAAATAAGTTGGCTTTCTTGAAATCAATATCTTTACAAATTTGACCGAGACGTTCTTGAAATTTTATTTGAAATCTATTAAGAAATAATTACATATATATATTTTACACATATTTACTTATTAAGAAATTTATTTCAAAAATTTAGTGATAAATAATTATCGAAATATTAATGTCTTTTATAAATAGAAAAAGATGGACCTTCAATTATTTTCACGAAATTATGTGATACATATGACAAACTATTAATCTCAATATTTAAAAATATTATTATAAAATCCATTAAATTTGTAACAATTTCTCAAATAAGTTCGCAATTCGAAAATCCAAAAATCTGACGAAAGAACATAAACATTAACGATAGTGACATTACAAAGTTCTGTGCGCTTAGTCCTTGATCCTGGCAATTATCGACTCTTGTGAGTCCTCCCGTGCATTATTGTAAGGAAAGAGAAGGAGTACGCGCGTAATAACTGCTATCTCTCTAATCTCTCGTCGATGTAATAACACACGCTGCTGTATTACAACTTGCTCTGCGCTACGCGAGAAATGGGGCTTACGTTTCGGTATCGAGTGCGGCCTCGTAGTCCTCCATTGTCTCGTTAGGATCCTGTTCGAGATCCGTGCCGGCACCCTCGTCCTCGCCGCCAGTTCCTTCGCCATCGCCATCGTCGCCGGCCTCGCCGCTGACTTCATCCCTTACTGGCGAACCGCTGCGGGATTTATTTTTCTCCGCCTAAAAAGGTAGAAAGGGGAGATTATCCGTCAAGTGATTCGGTCGAAAAACAATCAGTAGCAACGATCTCGTGTGAAAAAAAAATTCCGATAAAATAATATCACAGCGCGCTCCGAAACTTCCGAGATGAAATTTATCGAATTAGAGTAAGAAAAATTGAAATCCTTTCTTTTTAGACTTGTTAACTGAGTGAATTTAATTTTAATCGAAGTATTGAATTTTTATGTACAATTCATGTACAATTCAATTATTCACAAAATAGAAATTAAAATTATGTAGATAATAGAAATTCAAGAATTAAAATTATGTATATAATGAAAAATGAAAAATGAAAATTATGTACATAATTGAAATTCGGCGAATTTAACGAATGGAAATAAATGTTTTAAATTTGACTCATGTACTTAACAATATTAATGCTACCGGTGCACTTTTGATGTGGCTATTAAAATATTCTGTGTCTCTCTCTATAATTATATATCATACCTCTCTTATTAAGCTTTTTAAAATAATTTAATGATGCAGATTATACGTAATCAAAATAATATTTGAAATAAGATGTACAGCATTGTTGCTATTAGAATTTAGTTTAAATTAGAAAATACTATTCGTTATTTTATAATCCGAATTAAATTTTCAAAATTACATTTATACATTATAAAATAGAAAAATTATTTATTTTATCTATTTAAAAAATATAAAATGAAAAAAATAAAAAATTTTTCAGAGAAAATTTTATATTTAAAATATATTATTGTAATACTCTGAAAAAGTTAGAAACGAGAGAGAGAGAGAGAGAGAGAGGCATCTATACAGTTTTCTTCGACTAATTATTTACGTAATGTAACATTTCTGCCATTTCCATTCGCAACATTTCATACTTATTTGTTCAAGACACCGTGTAGGCGTCTTGAAAGAAAATGTTCGTTCTCAGAATAGCAGATGCAGAGAATTGACGTCGTTTGAATTTTTCTATACTCGTTAAAGTCGTTGCTTGAATGCTGCATTATTAAAAATTCAAATTTTATCTATATTTACAAAATAAATTATATATCACAAATTCGAGAGAAATTGAAAATAGGCAAATTAAAGAAGTTTTGAACTTGATTCTATTTTAATTTTCGGAAATCGCGATTGTCTTGCAATCGCAAATTAAACCTTTATTGTGAAATATTTTATTTGAATACAATATTGCATAATATCTTTTTTAAATAAATATAATTAAGCTGAATATATATTATATAAAAAAATCTTTATAATTATTTAAATACTTAAATGCAGAGCGTTAAAATTTTTTTTTAATTTTCTGGGAGGGAATTACTGCGGTGACTTCTCTTTTTTTCAATTAACTGTAATATTAAAAATTAATATTAGGAAAAATAAAACTAACCTGAGGAAAAATAAAACTAATATTAGGAAAAATAATACTAATATTAATATAAAGAAAAATGTATTTTTGGCAAGTTCTAAAATATTAAAAGTTAATATAAAATCGAGAAATGGCGCGTGCTTTTCGCGTTATTCTAGTTTTAATAAATTTATTATTACATAACTTATTGTAAATCATGATTAAATTTTTACTGATTAGTTCATAAATTATTAATTAATTAATTTATGAATTCATAATACCGCGAATATCAAATAATATAGTAAAAGGCAAGTAAGAGTCGGACGTGTTCAATTTAACCGATAAAATTTAACTTTTTATTCAAATTATTATTTTATTCTCGCTAGAGTATCCTTTTTATAAAGCGCATTTTTCACGATATTTTATTGACGTTTATCAGTAAAAATAATCTGTAAAACATATGAAAGATTTGATTAAAGAATATGAATTGTATTAGTGCTTTCGCTGAATATTTATTAGCTTTGTTGAATAATGTCCAACACAGATATCAGAGAATCTATTTTCGACTAATTAAATTCTATAGTCAACATTGTAGATACCCCGACGAGATTGATATCATTATTATGCAAAAAGCTCGTGCTATACACAAATTGATAACGTAAATTCGAATCTAAATCGATACATTTACACAAATATTTGATTTATAATCGTTATCGTGGCGTTACTTGCTGAAATCACAAATTAACCACATGTCATTAATATTCCCATCTATGAGATAAAAACCCTGTTTATTCATGTTCATAGAAAAAAACGTGAGAATTCTTTTTTCCATTTTTTGATATAAAATTGTAAGACGAACGTGATATGAACACTCGTAATAAAAAGTTTAATTCAACAGAGAGCAGTAAATTTTTGTATTACCACGATCTCGTGACTTAAAAGGGCAGTGAGGTGCAGCTTGCGTTGTAAAAGAAAGCTGTATACTTTCTTTACTACTTGTTAGATCGCTGTTGGTAAACAACAGTAGGAATGGCACGCTGCATTTTTCAATTCAAATATTGATTCATTATCACGTAACTTTTTTATATCTTTTTTGTTATTAAAAAGAATGAAAGTATTTTGTATTTTTTGTTATGAAAATGAATGAAGTATACACATAAAAATTAGATATATATATATGTATATATTATACAAATAAATATTTATATAAATATATTATATGTAAATAAAATATTTATATAAAATAAAAATTTATACATATATTATAATTTATGTATATATTATAATAGCGTATATGAAGAAATGTGATAAAAAATAATATTGGAGAAAAATATATATGCAATATGCGCGTAACTTTTTTTTAAAATATTGAGCTACATATTGGATATAGCGACGTAATGTACATCGAATTCTTTATTAATACAACAAGAAGCATGTTGTAGGTTGAAAAAACGCTTTATAACGCTTATAACGTAGAATTTCCGCGGCGCAGTCGACAGTTTTTCATCAATGTTGTTCCGCTGTTACAAGTATGATTAATCAGCTTTTGAACTTTGCCACTGCGGTTTTAAATGACGAGTAAAACTACAACATTGCTCGCGTCGCATATAACATTGTAAATTGCAATTGATTATGCATTTGATGAAAGAAGATGAATGTCACATACGACCACTTCTCCGGATTCTCTGTATAACGCTCATAATATAATTTAGCCACTTTATATTCATTTATTTAAATCAATACTTCTTGACATTTACAATTTACATTTGCAAAAAATACCATAAAATAATTCTAACGCGACATTCTTTGACGAATTTGAAGAGAGAGAGAGAGAGAGAGAGAGAGAGAGTCAGGCTGGTAATTAAAAAAAACTGGTAATTAAAATTTTATTTTAGAATAGAATCGACATGAATAATTGATGAAACAATCTGTACCAAAGATTAACGAAAATTTAAAAGACATTGTATTCGATTGTATAGATAGTATTAGGACGTTTTTCGAAGAACGATATTAATTCAAATTAATATTATCGAGTGTCAATAAATTTTTATGGCACAGAAACCCGAATAAAAATTTGACAGTTTCGCGCATGCCGTTGATATATGGTATACAGTAGAAGAAAATTGGAGCAGCGCTCTTCTTATCACCCCTGCATGAGCGTTAAACGCGACGCTCATTTACCGGGATAGGCGTCGTCCTGTCGTCGTCATCCCTTTAGTCGTCATCCACCCCATTCGAGCGGACTCGCATTGTCCATAATGCGCCTCGCGATATTAACTTCTCGCAAATGCTTCGCGCGACATAATGCAAAAGACATCGCTTCTTTCTCTCGAGAGAGAAAGAAATTGAGAAGCCGAATTAGTCTGATCGTTTGTGGAAATCCGAAGAAACACCTCGTTCGATAAAGTTACACAATTTTGAACACTTCAGTGTAGAATATACATAATTATCGCAAGAATTATTTTTTGTTTTGTACATGTACTATTATTTTTTCTTTTCTTTTATTTTTTTTATTATTATTTTTATGGACATGATTTTTATTAATTTTAGCAAAGTATAAGGAAGAGATTTTTCATAACGCTTAAACGAATGTAATTGGATTCGCATTTGGCCAAATATATTTGACAAAAAAAATTTTTATTATAAAATTTAAATTATAAAATTGAAATTTAATACATTATGTATTGTGTTGAAAACTCACCTCCTCCTCGGCCTCCTTCTCGATGGCAGTTAGAGATTCGGCATCGGCGAGATTGTCGACGGCGATAGCCAAGAACACGTTCAGGAGGATATCTGCGTTGCTATCTTCGTCAAGGATCGATTAAAATTTATTAAATCAGGCCGGGTCGATATTACGCTGAGCGGGCGCGACTTTCGAATTAAAAATTCGCGAGAGGGAAAAGCGACGATTACTCTTTTTGACAAAGGATACAGTTACCGCATATAAAGAGGATGATGAAGTAAACGCAGGCGAGGATGCCGATACTCGCGACGCCCCCGTAAGCTCGGATACCGATGTACATCACGACGTTCCAGTCCTCTCCGGTTAATATCTGAGAATGCAGAGAGATCACAAATGTATATTTTATTTTTAGAAGCGTAAGGAAATGGAGAAGAAAAATACATAAGAGAGTGGCTCGAAAATAGAGTCGCCAAGTCGCTTATATCTTCGCGATGAATCGAGTGATTTATAATTTCGCGAGTGCGAAATTTTTCTTTTTTTTTCTCTCCCCAAAATTTCGTGCTCCTTTTTTTACGATTGGGATATACCTGAAACACGGTGAGCAAGCTCTGCCAAAAGCTGTCGAAATTGTGACGTGTCTTTTCCTCCATCTCGCTGAAATTGAACCTTCCACCGAAGACCTATTCGAAGAACAAACGTTGAACGAATAAATGAAGCGTGTGTGTTTTCGTGTCGCTACGTCTCTTTTATGTTAAATAAAAATCTACCTGCATGCCCAGAAGAGCGAAGATAACGATGAAAAGGAAAAGCAGGAGCAGCAACGAAGCGATCGATTGTATGGAGTTCAGTAGAGAGGCCACTAAATTCGATAGTGATCTCCAATATCTGAAAAATGAGAAAAACAACGCATCTCACATGTAAATCCCGAAATATCAAAGTCTTCGCGTCTTTCGGAAAATATTTTTGCACCTCTGTTGTACACAAAAACGGTCCCCGTTAAAATCTTTATGTTAAATATTTCACACATTAATGTATTAATTTAACATATTGCTGTTAAATTATTAAAACAACTGAAAAAGATGAAAAAATAACACAATGTGCATCTATTTTTAATTTTGCACAATAAATATCCTATGTTCTGTTTTATTAGTGACAAGATTATTTGTTAAAATTTACAGAAAAAAAAGTGTTGACTTTTTTTAATTTTATAATACCTATACGTGGGGAAGATAATATGTTAATTTTACACAAAATTTATTTCAAATTATTTAAAGTTTTGCATTTATTTTGTGTTAAAATATTAATACTATCTCCATTTAACATATCCATATTATATTTAAATTAACATGAAAATTTCTGCGGACCGTTTAGGACATGTGACATATTTGTTAAAGACACAAATTTTTCAATGATGTGAAATATCATTGGGACTTGATTTTCCAAGTATTATATTGAATGAATACCTATATAAGTTATACGTCTCGAGAATACGAGTACTCACTTTGTTACTTTGAATACCCTGAGCAACCGGACGCAACGGAGTACGGAAACGCCAAGAGGCGGCATCACTTGTGTACGTGTAAGTATCATTTCGGTGATCGAGCCGATCACGACGAAGCAATCGAAACGATTAAATAACGAGACGAAATAACCCTGTGAATTATAATAATAAATTACAGTGATGGAAGATTAAGCAGATAATTTTTGCGAAGAAACAAAATATTTAAATGCATCTTTCTGTTTAAATGAAAAAGAGAGAGAGACGCTCGTATTTACCTTTTTCAATAAACACATCATTAATATGTAAATAATAAGAACGATAATTATATATAAAAATATATATATATATATATATATGCGACGAGATGAACTCACCTGAAAACCTAAACTGTACATCTTTAACATCATTTCCATGGAGAAGAGGACGATGAAGAAGACGTTCGTGATTTCTAATGGCAGACGAAAGAGGCTCGCGTTACGAAATGCATTACCAGAGGCGTCGAGGCGGTTTATAATTAAAGGCAAACACACGCTAAAGTCGACTTTATTTCCGCTAAGCAAGCGGCAAGAGGCGGTATTTACCTTGAAAGTCGTCCAACCAGCTCGGTTGATGGTAATGCTCTGTAGCGAGGACGCCGGTATTCAAGAAAACCAGAACTATGATGAGCCAATAGAAGACCTGGGACTTGACTGCCTTTCGGCAGGCTCTTCGCATCCGCCTGTTCACTCTGCAAATTCACATCACAATACGCGAGTGTGTAAGTCTAAAGTTTGCCCACTCGCTCGAGCGTATATACGAGACCGGCTTTAAGCGAACTTCTTTCAACTTGTTCGGATAAATGACGCTTTGATCTACATCGAGACGTTCGTGTACACGGTTATATATATGTATGTAAGACTTTCAGGACGTATGTATTTCGGAGGAGGAGCTTTCTCAAATATACAGGATGGTCTCAGATTTACTGTACCACATGTTATAATGAGAGATTTCGAGACGAGTTTTTCTCAGCAAAAATGTCCAAACATTTTTATGAGACTAAATTATTAACACATTTTTTTTTTTAATTTATTTCAGGTAAAGTTTACTTGAATATTGATATATGATTTGAAAAATTGGGAACATTAAAAAAAATATGTATGTAAGATTTTCAGGACGTATGTATTTCGGAGAAGGAGCTTTCTCAAATATACAGGATGTCTCAGATTTACTGTACCACATGTTATAATGAGAGATTTCGAGACGAGTTTTTCTCAGCAAAATGTCCAAACATTTTTATGAGACTAAATTATTAACACATTTTTTTTTAAATTTATTTCAGGTAAAGTTTACTTGAATATTGATATATGATTTGAAAAATTGGGAACATTAAAAAAAATATGTATGTAAGACTTTCACGTATGTATTTCGGAGGAGGAGCTTTCTCAAATATACAGGATGTCTCAGATTTACTGTACCACATGTTATAATGAGAGATTTCGAGACGAGTTTTTCTCAGCAAAAATGTCCAAACATTTTTATGAGACTAAATTATTAACACATTTTTTTTTTTAAATTTATTTCAGGTAAAGTTTACTTGAATATTGATATATGATTTGAAAAATTGGGAACATTAAAAAAATATGTATGTAAGACTTTCACGTATGTATTTCGGAGGAGGAGCTTTCTCAAATATACAGGATGTCTCAGATTTACTGTACCACATGTTATAATGAGAGATTTCGAGACGAGTTTTTCTCAGCAAAAATGTCCAAACATTTTTATGAGACTAAATTATTAACACATTTTTTTTTTAAATTAATTTCAGGTAAAGTTTACTTGAATATTGATATATGATTTGAAAAATTGGGAACATTAAAAAAATATGTATGTAAGACTTTCACGTATGTATTTCGGAGGAGGAGCTTTCTCAAATATACAGGATGTCTCAGATTTACTGTACCACATATTATAATGAGAGATTTCGAGACGAGTTTTTTCTCAGCAAAAATGTCCAAACATTTTTATGAGACTAAATTATTAACACATTTTTTTTTTAAATTAATTTCAGGTAAAGTTTACTTGAATATTGATATATGATTTGAAAAATTGGGAACATTAAAAAAAAATGATAACCTTCCTCGCACATTTTCGCTGCGAGGAGTCTCCCATAAATGTATGGTACGATAAGACACTCTGTATATATCTACGACGATTCTAAATTCGCGAATTTTATATATATATGTGATGACATTTGGATGAGCGATTTTCCGCATAAAAATCCTAATTACCTATCTAGGTCTCGTTTCTTCTTTTTCCACACGGACTCTTGCTGGATACCCTCTTCGTCGCCCTCTAATTGATCCGTGCTCTCTATTTCGTTTTGCTTGGCTATGTAATATTAAACTCCGTCGATTAATTATCATACCTTAACCAGGGAGAGAGAGAAAGTTATTTCATCTCGCGGAATTTAGTTTAATGAACAACTTCCCGAATTCAGATTATGCACTTCTATATACTCGTATTTGCATAAACACTGTGAATTTAGTTGCATAAATACTGATGCGTACGGATTAGCGGAAAATTGCATACAAATTTCTTTTTGAAATTACATATTATATATAATCCTTTTCGATTATTTAGTTCTTTTTTTTATATATATTTTATAATATGTATAAAAAATATCTCCAATTATTTTCAACTTACAATTTCTATTTTTGCAATAATATAATAATATAAAAAATATGCATAATATAATTTATATAATTATTTATTAATAACAATTTATCTATAGCATATATATATTTTTATACATACTTTTCCCATCTTGCTTCGGTTCGTCGGCTTCCGGCTCGATGTCCTCGGCTTGCGTTATCCAGTCGAGGTAACCCCTGAGATCATCCTCGATTTGCTGTTTCTCCCTGAGCTTGTGAAAGTCGCCACGCGCCTTCGCCTTCTCTCTCTCCTTGGAGAATTCGCTGCACCAAAAACGGAACGGATTGCAAAAATACGATCGCGTCGCGTCTTGATTAAAGGTACGCGCCGGGCGTGTAATTAAAACATTCAAAGGTCATACGAAACGGAAATCGAGATAGACATGAAAGACTCCCTTTATTTGTCCGCGCTTGTTCGATTTCTCTCGTTCGACAAACAAAATGAAATCCATCTACGCATTATATCGAGAAAAGGACCTTCAAAGGATCTAAGCAATCTAAAGATCTAATTATTCGCGGAGTGACGTTTTTTCTCTGGGTGAAAATGCAAATTTTCTGGAAATTTTTCATTCGACAGCATGAATTTTAGCATACGAGATTTTATATTCACACGAGTCGCGAATCGAGGAAGATTTTAATATAATATTATAAACGGTTCTCTCCGATTCTTCTTTATTGCTTCTCGCACTTGAAACGTCTCCCCTTGACATTTTGACGACTGGATAATTTTCGAGCGATCCGCATATTTCGCGAACATGTGTTTTGCCGCGTTTCCGATAATGAGAGTGTTTGCGCGCGATGCGTTAAGCGATGGATAAAAAACGTAAAAAAGGGAAGGAAGTTAAATCGCGCTTATCATCGATACCGATTTTCACGCCTCGGTTGGCCGCGAATCCTTTACCGATACGCAACGGAGTGTGTGCGTGTGTTTATGTATATGAACCTAAGAAAAAGATATTTTTATCCCGTCCCCTCTCGTCGAGAATTGTAAAACTCCGCAAGGATAGATGTCGCAAGCCGATCGACTCGAGTCGTATCCTCCGAAAGCTGGATCTACCGCGTTATATGTCTCCGTTTTCTCGATGAAACACGTGTAACACTCGAGTTTATCATTCCCGATATATTTTATAAAATATTAGTGAAAATTAGGCAGCACCGGGCCCCATCCTTCTTAAAACTTATTTGTCGCGATGGAGAATTATTTATGGAGCAAAACTTCTCGCGACACTTACCCGGACAACACACCGAGAATTAGATTCATCACGAAGAAAGCTCCGAGGATGACCATCGAGATGAAATATATCCACTGCCACGAGCTCCCCATCGCATCCTCGATCTAAATAAAACGCAATTATATGATGATAAAAATAAGTGAACTGGTCCTTGACGATTGATTAATTTTGATTTGCACGGAAAATTAACAGAATCACGGCTAAGTGTATAAATATAATAATAATATGTGGAATAATACGGATCCGAACAATGCACAGCAAATACAATCACATCAATTATATTAATTACTTCAACAGAGTGTCTATTTCACAGAAAAAGCTAGAAAATCTCGAATTTTTCATTTTTTTCTTTTTTCACGTTTTAAATTCAGATCATTTTCATGGAATTTTGTTGGAGAGAATTTTTAAAGAATTGTTTTCCATTATTTTTTGACAGTTTCATGAACAGTCAATACAGAATCTCCATTACAATTCTTAATGATAAACTAATAATTTTATAATATAAAAAGTTCGCATCTACAAATTCTCCAAATTTATTATGGAGAATTTTGAACCGAAAATACTCGGTGAATCCGATCAGACCCGTGTTTCGGAAGATTTTCATACTATTTGAATAGACATCCTGTTCAAGAGCATAACGTGAGTCTACTGAAAATTTGATGTGACAAGACATATCGCGTATAAGAGATTTTACATTATAAAGCACGTCCGTCCAGCCTTCGAGGGTGACGCATTGGAAGACCGTGAGCATGGCCAGTCCGAAGTTGTCGAAATTCGTGATACCGTAGTTGGGACCCTCCCAGAACTGTTTGCTGCAGTAGAACTCGGGTCCGAGTTGAGAGCACTGGAAGCCCATCTCGCCGCACGGTACCGGATTGTCCATTATCCGATCTGCGATATAATAAAGGGGAATCGAATTTTTTTCATCCCCGAAACGGGAGATGCCCGCGAAACCGTAATAAGATCGACTTCCCGTATATATAAACGCGCGGCATTAAAAACTTGCCTAATTAGTTCCGAGAGCAACGAGTTTAAGGTGTCGTAAAAATGTTTGCATATTTCTCTATACGTATGTATCTATGCAGAGTGGCTTGAGATTAATACTTCTTCTTCCTTACTTACGCGATTTATCGATCTTTCTATCTCGCGCTTCTACGGTGCATAGGTCAATTAAAGGAGCTTCATTAAGCCCGTTGCTTCGTTAAACTTTAAATACACTTGAGCCAACATGGCAAATCGTATCTGGATCTCTCTCTCTCTCTCTCTCTTCTTACCGAATTAAAATAATGAATATATAATTGGTTTTCGTATTAATAGTATACATAAATATATAGAGCAGAGAAATATCTAACATGTAATTAAAAAATAATTAGTATAAATTTTAATCAGTTAAAATAATTATTCTAATTGATTAGTTAGAGACTATCGTCGGAGGTTCTTTGCGATGGTGTACATTTACACGAAAATAGAGAAAGAATATAACTACAATATATATATTAATTAATATAATCATTAATACACTGAAAAAAATTTATTGAATTCGAATAAATATTTATTTCAATACTGTCTAATAAATAATTTATTTGAAGCCAATAATATTGACTTAATGTGAAAAATATTTATTTAATAAATAAGGAAAATTCCTTTCCAGACAGATAAATATTTATTTATTTCCAATAAATGATTTATGAGGCAATATTGGAATAAATATTATTAATTTAATAATTTTTTCAGTGTAAAAATAAATTAAATTTATTATACAGATTTTAAAGACGCGAGTCTGGGCGAATTCTCTCTCTCTCTCTCTTCCTCGTCGCATCTCGGCGTATCTCTTTGTATCGCCCGGGCCCGGAGACGTCCGCACGCTATTTTACGCATTCCCGTGAATCAGCTGTTTGCCGTGCGGTACGCAAATCGCGCGCGCGCGCTTGTCCCTCGCGCTAATAATAATTAGACGTTAGTTTCACGTTCGCGTCTCTCGCGGCTGAATCATATCTAAAATAGCCGTCCCGGCGGAAAGTGTGTTAGGAGGCTAAGCCGGGAGTTCCCTTCAGGGCCCCTCGCCAAATTCCCTCCCCCATCCTCTTCCTTCTTCGTCTTCTTCTTTTGCGCCATTCCTCGGTCCCGACGATTTTTCCCCGAATATCCCACGGGAGCGACCTTTACCAAGACCTACGCGATTTTCTAAATAATCTAACAGACACGAGAGTAACATTTCGCATTCTAAACTCCTCGTTAATTCTTTATGACGCAGGACGGAATGCAGATAAATTCCTCATGCGTGTATTATACTAACATTCTCGATATATGTATAATTTTGATCTCATGACTTTTTTAGAATTCGCTGTAAACTGCATAAGCAATTTTTTAAACCCAACTGTGCGACAATTTTTTTGCACGATTATACATTAATATTCTTGATATTATGTACTATATAAATATATACATTATTTTTTATTATATATATTTTTACAAATATATTACACATTCAAGAAGTAATTTTCTACGTATATATAATCTCTTGAGAAGAGATAAGTAAATTTAATTTTTTAATAAAAAGAGAGTCCAGATTCGCCTTTTCAGAAATTTAAGTGTGAATTTTTAGTCATCTATATATATCGAATACATTAATTAATATATCCATAAATTAGTTACAAAATAATATCAAGATATAATATTTAAATTGAGTTTCTTTGCCGAATATATATATATCTGAGTCAGAGAGAGATTCGGGATTCGAGAAAATTTATAATAAATTTGAGAGCATGTGTGCAAACATCGATCCGGTATACGTTCGCCGTCGTTGCCAAGCATTGCGTTAAATTTTTATCAGAACACGTAGCAATCCTGAAACGTGCACTTACCAGTTATGTTGTTCCTGCATGTTTTGTGCATCTTTCCGGAGAACAGCTCGAGGCCGATGATGGCGTAAATGATGATGACAAAGAGAACTAATAAAGCAATGTGCAAAAGTGGTACCATCGCCCTCAAAATAGAGTTTAGGACCACTTGAAGACCTACGCAGATGACAAATCCATTTATCTTTATCATGAATAAACGAGCGTACATTTCTTCTTTCCTTTCTTCCATACACACATATGCATTAATTATGATTATTAACTCTTTAAACAACTAAATAATATATATTCTGACAAAATTATGTTGACATCTCAATTATTTAATTGTATGTCCCAATTTAATTTGTTCAACTTAATTCCTTGATGTTTATTCGCGACAGATAATTGACACATCGATTAATATTATTTAAGTTTTTAAACAGCTTCGAAATATACATATCCGAAACAATAATTATTTTGACATTTCATGAATTATGTTCGAGTCGAATTTATATTTAGCTTAGCTTCTTCGCGTTATTTGCGATAAAATCGATATTTTGAGCGAAAAGTCTTACTTGGAACACCGGAAACCAGCCTGAGAGGACGTAGAACACGAAACGCCCTTAAGGCCTTGATGTCGAAACCCTCCTTCATGAGCATCATCAGCACCGTGCTTATCATTCTACAAAGGGGAACGCAAAAAATTTTTCTATACAGCAGACAAGTAAGGATTAACGACTTGATGATAAAATGGAGACTTTATAATGTAGGCTGAAAGTTCATTTTCCCAGAAGATAATTTGTCCCTGAAGAAAAGAGCTTTGTGTGCCAAGGCTAATAGCATTATAAACGCCGCATAGCGGCATTTATGAGAACGTTTACGAGGCATAAAAGAGGGAGGAAAAAGAAGCCTTTCCTCCACCATCTAAATAAACGAGAGATATATCTTTTTCTCTAAACAAAAAAAAATATTTTCTGAAATTATCGCGTCCGGTACCAATCAATTTTTCCTGTTCACGCGTCACGTCTTTAAATTACCGTAAACATTCAACGAACCAGAAGGTTTGTGTGACGTTGTCGCTAAACGAACCGAGCCGAATGGATCCGCCGACCGGAAGGAAGCGATCTCGCTCGACGAGACAATTTCGAATATTACCGACGACTGCATTTTCTTCGTACATTAGGCTGCATGTCATTTGAATAATGGCCTTTGCGTAATGGTCGATTCGAGGAGAAAGATATATATATATATATATATGTAGTTGCGCGCATGTTCTCCCACGGGACATTAAGACGGATCAATTCGCCGTGTCGTTAACCGAGAGACCGATAAAGTTATCAGACGGTGGAGGAAACGTCATCGTCTATCTGTTATACGGAAAACGGATAGTTATGCTTGTCGATACGAAATACGCCGTAATTCCACGATAAGAGATTTTTTCGCCAAAATCTTCCGCGCGAACAAATAAATTCGCGATCGCGGATCATTAACCGAGGGATGAAACGCGAGGAGGATGGGTCGACATGCTCTGTTTGTCAACTCTTCACGGACGTTTTAGATTACGTGTATATGTATAAATGTGTTTATTTGTGTGTGTGTGCGAGATTTCTCTCGTCTCTTTACTCTGTAAAATCGATCGATGGGATCGCGTAAATAGGGTACCATTATTTACGTCATGTATATATATCATGGTAGTAATAGATGCATGTAGGAATCATGTATCCAGACTCTGGCGCGGATGGATTATGTGGTACCGGCATATCGGTTTCACACGATGTAGTAATCATGATTAATGATTTTTTATTCGCGCCAAAGACGGGATCGGAATGTAATATTTCACAAAATGTCGAAAATACGCGCATCTTGCATACGATTTTTAAGATAAACGCGTTTTTCGTAAAACTCCGAGAAAATTATCTCATTTAACGTCAATGTATGGATTAATGGTCGTGAGTACAAACTTTCCGCAATCTACCAAGATATTAATTACGATGCCCCCCTTAGAATCAGTAAAAAAAATTTAATATTTGCTCTCCTTGCGAATAAACACTGGATTTATTTGCAATTTTATTTAATATAAAAATATAAAATTAAAATAATAAAAAATTTTTTTTTTAATTAAGAAAGAATAATAAAAAACAAAACAAATTTAATCATGTCTTTCCTTGAACAAAATTTTGCGGACGCCCGTGGATGTAAGTTATCGGTGCCAAATGCTACATTGAGTTCATTATCGATACTTGAACAGTGTTCATGAATCTTCAATTCCCGATTGCTCACGCTGTTATACCTGGATTTAATTTACACGCATGAGTTGCGGCATATTATATACGGATTATATATACGGATTGCTAAATAATTCTCTAGCCCGTCTTCGTGCGCGTAATAATTCGAGCTCGACGTATATCGTCGCGCCTATATCACGACGAAAAAGATTTTTTCGATTTCCTTCCTTCCTTCCTTCCTTCCTTCCTTCCGTTCGTTCGTTCATTCGTTCCTCCATCAGTTTGCACCCCGCGAAATTTACGCCGGATTAGACCCTCGTTCGCGAGCTCGAGTCAATTTCATCAGCTTCAGAAGCTATTTTTATACAATAAAGCGCAAACTTTACAATTTTTCTCTATTCGCCTTTTTAATTTACATTCACGGGCTCTTTTAACTGCGTATATATTTCGCGAAAAAACATAAAATACTCCGATAACTAACGAAGGGAGTAACTTTGTTCAGGTGCTTTCTGTATAATCGGTACAAAATAAGAGGGCGGAGTTTTTAAAATCGCTTTAGTATTTATAAGACACTCGCCACACCAGCTCTTGTAAATATTAAAGCTCGCTAGTACGAGCTTTTATGATACTGTCATGTTGTACGAAACAGTTGTCGATAATTTTTTTCCGCTCTATTTCCCCACAATATGAAATCGCTTTATATACTTTTATGATATTCATCAGATTTTAAATATTTATGTATAATATTGCAAATTTACAAATTTTATCGATAATTAATATGAATCGCAAAAGTTAACTTGTAAACTTCATATTATATTTAATATTAATGTTCAATATTTACTCGCCAAACGAATATTCTAGCTAATCGAGTTATACGACTTGTCGCTGTCATTCGTGCACTTTGGTGGAACGTTATCGATATTGTATGTGGGAAAACATTATCAGGTGTAAACTATCCAATGGTAAAGTGTATATGATCGCACTATCGATTACATCGACAGTGATCCAATTAGCTTGCAATTAATACAAATTGTTAGATACTATATATCTATATATGTCTTTATTGGTTCTCGCTTGTCGAATTTGAGGAAAAATCAATTTATCAGAAAACGAACGCCGAAGGTATCATTTGGACGTCGAAATGCTCGACTCTTTAACCTATTTTTCGTTAAAATTCCAATAAAGATATTTTAAGAAGAAATCTAATTGTAAGCTTTCAAAAAAACCAAGTTTCTTTTATAAATATGTTAGTAAATGAGGCTATATAAATTGGAGGAAGAAAATTCGCAAACATATTTAATCCTATATAATATGAATTCAGTTCAGTTATATAGCGAATTTGATTTACAATATATCGAGTTTGAACAGAATAAATAAAAGAATTTCAGTCGCGTAAATTTAATTCTATCTAGAATGAAAGTTACAATATATAAAAATCTCTCAGTTTTTTAAATATTTTTTTCGAAAATTAAAATCCCGGACCTACGTCTATCTGCGGATAAAAGATTAAATAAATGTAGAAATTTATTAAGCTGATGTACTCACCCAATCACGACTATCGTGAAATCCAGCAAGTTCCAACCGTTGCGGAGATAAGCTCCCGGGTGGGCGACGAAGCCGTAAGCTATGATCTTCATCACGCACTCCACCGTAAAAATCACAAGAAAAACGTACTCTATCTTCTCCTGCAACACGCCGTAAGAAAAATCGTCGTAAAAAGCGGATATATATATATATATATATATATATATATACGGATCGATCATCCCTTTGAAAGAACATTCGGAGCAAATGTTACAAAGGAGGGTGTTTTTTAATATTGGAAAGAGAACTAGGATTGACAAGTATCGGCTGATAAAACATACCGCTGTCGCTAATTTGACCGCGGAACACGTTCTTCAAGCGAGGGTAATTGAAAGCGACGGGAACAAATTGCGGCGGACTGCAATTAAAAACGAACCCGAGAGAAGACAATAATGTTTCGTGCCCTGCGCACGCGTACAACACGAGCATTTCGAGCACGAGCGTCGCGTTGCAGTTGGATTACAATGAGTTACGACGAGAACGTGATCGCCGTTTACACGGAACAGGAAGTGTCAACGCGCGCCGATATTTTTTACATGGGACTTGTGGCCTCTCTCTCTCTCTTCCTCTTTAGAGCCATATTGTAATAACCTGTTGCTGTTCTTTCTTTGTTTGCTTTAATATTCTCTTTAACTTCGCTCACCGCCACACGGTTGGTTCAAGAGAGCGAACACTTCAGCGAGAGGTACTCTCTCCGAATTTCGAAACTTCGATCAACTCGTTATCAAGTCGCGGAATTAATTAACTTACCATGTCTGCCGCAAAACTGTGTAACACTCTCTTCAACTGTATACCATATTTTGACAAGTGACAACTGATCGAAATTATAAGTGATCAAGAGCAGCTATATATATGTGTGATAGAAATTGATAAGCACGATTGTGCGACATGGAAGAAAAATGTGATACAATTTTAATCATTTATTTTCATTATAAATAGATCGAAAAAAATATGCAAAAAAAGCATTTTAGAAAAAAACACGAGTTTAAGATTAACTTTTCGACGTCGATCACCCCACATTGGTATGACTCATGGATATTAGTACCAGCAGCATCGCCGAGCATCGCGTAAAAGGATTAATCGACGCATGGCACGGTTGCAGTTTACGGTATAGGCCTTGGTGAGAAAAACAGGCGAAACAAAAGGAAGAAGCGGAGGGTTAAAAATAAGGCCGAAGAGAGAAAACGCTCGTTCGCTACACATCGAAGGTGGGAAAAAAGCCACCGTACGAAGAGAGAAGGTACACTGGAGTATATGGAAGATGTTAAAAGGGAAGTTGAAAGGCGGATACACGAGACCATAGAGAAAGAGAGAGAGAGGACACGGATTTTCTTTATCTCTCTCTCTCTCCTCTTTCTTTGCCCCTTGCGCAGCGTCCATTACGTTTAATTTCCGAAATCGATCGATTATCGGCTTGCTGAAATAAGCTCGAGCGCACATTATATCGCTCGTATTGCTCGCCGATGCATGACACGTGGGCGCCGTTACGTGACTTTGAGGGCGCGAAGTTGTGTAGAAAGTTCCCAAACTTTTGACGGATCGCGTTGTTTCTCTCCCTCTCTTTTACACGCTCTCATCTTTTTTTCAAAGCTTTATTATTTTCTGGATTACGAATTTATATCACCTTTTTAGAGAGAACGTCGTATGCTACTTAGGCTAATTCATAGTATGATTTTTAAGGACTTGTTTTCGATCAAATTATTGCTTTACTTTATCTTTTCAGATGAAAAAATATTTTTTTTTTTTTATTATTTCGTTTTTGAGAGTTCTTTCATAAAAATTCGAGAATAATTTGTTACAGTTCGGTGATTAAAGAAATAACTGATCCGAGTGGAATAAAAGTGAGATATATAATATATTAATGATAATGCTTGATAAATTATTTTTCATCCCTCGCACCTGTCAACTTTATTCTCTAAAGCTCGTTCCCATAAATATAAATTAAATTGTATTAATTAAATGTCGAGCTTCTCAGTAACATTAACACACACTTTGTTCCATTATTAGATCGGTATCTCTCATTAGAAAATGCATTTCTATCACGCACAGTTTTTCAGTTTAGTCGCATGAGGATTAACATATTGTCCACGACGTGGGCGAAATACGGAAAGAGCAGACCAGGAACGTAAATATTATGCAAACGTGCCTGTCGAATAATACATCTACTATTGTGACATTAAATGCCAAATGGTGTTCGAGACCTAACGAATATTTCACGCTGCCTGAGAGATTAAACTATTCGCTTAGCTTGTGACACATATTTGCATCGAATAAAACATTTTATTAGATCGAGATTATTTCAGAAACGCAATATATTCAAGCACAAAATTTTTACTAAGAGTTTTTTAAATATATATATATAAACATAATTTTGTTAATAAGAAAAGATAATTATATATTTAATATATATATAAAAAGATATAATTATGTATACATACATATTTAAATATACTGAATTTTTCTCTGCTTTCTTTCTGCGATCATGATTTTTGTATGTTTGAAAGACGAAAAAAGTTAATCTTTTTCTGTCATTTTATCTTTGAAAACTAACACACATGGAGCGACATATATATTATGAATTTTTATATAGTTTGATAATTTTATGGTGGTAAAAGATATCAGAGTTTCAGAGTTTTACTTCGATTGAGTATCGGACTGAGAATGAAAAAGTAGAAAGTTCTTAAAGAAGACTTAGAGAGATCGAGCTTAAGATTTGCGACTTTTTGGAGTTTGCAACTGGAGAATTCGCGAATCTCTCCCGGAGGTGTTGTTCTCCGTTTCTTCCTCCGAGGATGCTCAGAGAGTGCACAAAGAGTGAGAGAGACAAATAAGAAAAAACAAATTAATAGGATATATATATTTTGGTCATAGATTTTATAAGAGTAGCTGACTGTTTCTAAAAAGAAATCTGCATTCATTCTTAATTATTAAATTTTACATACATTGTTCATTATCTACTCTTATTTTATGACGCTATATTTCTACACAATTATTAATTGTATATTTTCCCAGGTCTGTACGAATCAATCCTTTCACAATTCAACGAAGCTCAAGACTCTGACAATTACTGTAACGCGCGTTTTGCAGCGGCTAACTTTTCGCGAACATTTCGTTAACCTGATCTCGAACAAAGTTTCCTCTCGATATCAATTAGCGCGCAAGGGATGTCCTTTGAGTGACACGAAACGAAGTCGCCTTTGGCGAGATACTACGAGCCCATCCCACTTTAGTACATACATAATACGACGTAAAACTCAATTTCGAGTTATCGTTAACTCGAGCCGTTTCTCTCTCGAGTCGTGTCGAGATTTCGCGATCCCGAGAATCTCCACCGCCGAACCTCCGTGAATGAGCTCGAACGGGCATTGATAATCCGTGAATGACTTCCGAAGTGTCCGACGAGCTGGGGTTGGGTTGAGGGAGGAGAAAGGGATGAAAAGGGTTCCCGCGATTAATCTTCGCGCTACAGCGACATACATGCGAAACTGCGCTTTCCAATTATAGGCGCCCGGGGTGCCATGCACGTTGATCTCGAGCAAGATTGAACAATTATTGAACTTTCAGCTCGAATAAGTTTCATGCCACCAACCCCAACGCCAATGTCTCGAAATCGATAACTCGATAGAGGCTCGCGTGGTTCGTTGAACGGGACCGTCACTCTCTTATTGTTGCAAGGGAGGGCCACTCATCGATTTCGAGAGAGACACACGTACATATGTATGTATATTTGTATACATGTAATATATCACACGATTGGTAAAATTGCTTCATTTCGCATTCGGTGAATTTCGCACAAAGGGATTCCCGGCGGCGCCTTTTTTCATATAACGAAACGATTGCCCGTTTGCTCGCTATTATTTTTAGTTCCTTTCGAGGTTTCTATTTTTACTTAAATATAACTGCGCGTTTATAAAATAATGCACGTTGAACATTATTCGATTTCCGCTTGTTTATTTGGGGGAGGTTTTTCGATGGAAAAAGATTATCATTTTATTTAGAGAAGTCTAATAAAAATAGAATTGAATTTCTATAAATAATTATTGTTAGATAGAAAATAAAAGGGATGACAAAAAATACACGTGCCGGGTACTCACCAAGTACTGATTGGTCAGGTTGGAATCGCCATAAGGGTACGGCGTGTAGACTGCCAAAGCGACGCAGTTTGCAAATATCGTCATAAGGATGAGATACTCGAAGGGTCTGCGAAATGACGTTGATAAAATCGAGCGAATTAAGGGAAAATATAAGGGTGGTTATTCTGGCGTGTTAACCCTTTTGGAACCTCAGAAATCGTCGCCAGTATTAACCCCGATATCGTCATCGTTGTATCCAAACTCGAATTAGGGTCAGTCTGAAAGAGCGGATTAACACGCAATTTATTAATTATATAAAATCAGAGACGCGTAAATACTGACTCACTAAACTTTGATCTCGGAATTCTTCCCTTCATCAGGGGATGACGCGTAGAGAATTAAGGGCCTGTACATAAATTGAAAAATTCTTTTCCACGATTAAAGTATTAATATTAACAAACGGGGGGGAAATCAAAATATTGGTACTTGAACTCATAAATTTTGATTGACTGTACAGATTGATATTTCTACGATTAAAGTATTAATATTAACAAACGGGGGAGCACTACTATAATTTCAAGTAAAAAAGTTTGAAAATTACATTTTTCATCGGCCTTTTAAACATTTTTCGTTTACATAAAATTATCGCGTTCACATTTCAATAATGCTTTTGACAAAAGGGGACATTTGCTCCCCCTTGGAATCAGTAAAAAAATTCAGTATTCGCTCTTCTTTTGGAACACAAACCCTTAGAATTTATTTGCACATTTATTATTAAAAAAATAAAAAAAAAACAAAAATTACGCGACCCCCTGGAAAAAATCCTGCGGACGCTTGCGGGCATTTGCTCCCCCCTTGAAACGAGTAAAAAAATGCAACATTTCCTCCTTTTGCAACAAACCCTGGAATTGATTTGCATATTTATTATTGAAAAAAAAAAATGAAAAAATCCTGCGGACGCGCCCTCGTTTAACGTCGCTCGCAAAAAGGATACTTCCATTCGACGACGCTGATGCACATCTTCCTAAGAGGGTTCGTGAGGGCCAGGCAGAAGAGGGCCCGGACGGGCCTGTCGGGCGGCGGCTTGCCGCCCCGTCTGACGGGCCTCTTCTGGGCCGACTTGGAGGCAGCACCGGCGGCGGCCCCGGCTTGGCCGGTCTGCGACTGCGTGGGCGGCGGCGGCGATTGATGATGCGCGTTCGCGCCATCTGGCGCGACACCACCGACACCACCGATCGATGACTGGCCGACGACGATGGGGGGGGTCGCGGTGGAGGGGGTCGCGGCAGTCGGCTGGGCCCCCGGCAGCCGGGCAGGTGGGCCCAACGCCGAGCCCCCATCCCCCCCCGCGCTCATCGGTCGCTGGTGTCGAGCTCCGTGCTTCCCGTGCTACTACGACGACGATCGCACCTTCGTCTTCTTCTCCTGCGGCGACGCACCTGCGATTGCTGCCCGGCGATCGACGCCGATCGACGCGGTGTCTCAGAGGCGCCCCACCACGCGCTGCAGCGAGCCGGCATGCTACGGCACTGGGCTGCTACGAAGCTCCCTCCGTGACCTGGAGTTAAAAGGTCGAGGTTCATGAATGAGACAGAGAGAGAGAGAGAGAGAGAGCCCTTTCGGCCCTAACAGCGAGTGCGCATCGCGATGAGTATCCTATAAATTGTAATTATTCATGAGCCAACGCCGCGATGCATTCACCAGTTGCGAATTGATGTGCACTCTCGCGAAAATATTCTCGAAACGCGTATATATACATACGTAAATATCGTATTTCCGAAAATGTCACATGCGTCATTTTCACTCGATATATTTGAAAATTATATGAATATCATTTCTTTAGATTTTCATTCGAAAGGGTGGAGGGATAATTTTGCTTCTCTTTTTTTTAAGCCGCTAATAAATGTTACGATCATTTTTACACGACTTTTTAAATGAAATGCACACGTATAACTGAGATTAAATTATATATATATATATTATATATATAATATATATATATATATATATATAATTATCAATATATATATAATAGATATATATATATATATATATATATATATATATATATATATATATATTAGAGATATATATATATATATATATAATATATATATATATATATATATATATATATTATCATATATATATATATATATATATATATATATATATATATTGATATAGAGAATAGAGAATAGCGCACCCCGAAGTTAGCGATCCCACGCCTACACTTAATGCGAAAAGCGAGATATTCCAGGCAATTCGTGAACATTCCACTCTCAAACGACGCAATTATACCTTTGACGGGACAAATCCACCGAGTAGAAGCAACGTATACAATGCATCGGGGAGGGTCGCCGTAACCTTGCCCCCCTTTTCAATTCAGAAGGGATAATGCATAGCGCGCAGCCTTTCGATTGCATCGTGGGTGCAATAAAAAAATAACAAGGCTACTGAATGAAAAGAACTCGATTATTTCGGGACAGCTTTTCTACGATCCCGGCGTTACCTATATCAAATGCAGTATTTTTCCTCTCAAGAGTCAGCTCGTTTATTTTTCTCAGTTTTGCAAGAAACGTTTGAAGCGGTTCGAAAAATGGTTACGCCATTGATGAAGTAATAAAGCTAATTAATCTTTCAGCTTTTTATAATAAACTGCTTTCAGATATTATTTCTTCAAATAATGGAACATATTTCCTTAGCATTACGAATGAACTTTAAATATCACGTTAAGGAAGATACGAAAACATTTAGAATAATAAAACTAATTAATTTTTAGTTTTTTATGATAAACTGCTTTCAGTTTTTATTTCTTCAAATAATAGAAAATATTTTCAATTATTCTTTTTGCTTTGCGTTCTAGATATTTTATATTAATCATTTTCTTAGCATTATAAATGAACTTTAAATGTTAAGAAAGATAAGAAAGAATTTTGAATAATAAAACTAATCAATCTTTTTACTTTATGTAATAAATTATACTTCTAGTTTTTATGTTTTTTCAAACAATAAGAAATATTTTAAATCATTTTTTTTTTTTGCTTTATATCATAGATATTTCATATTAATCATTTTCTTAGCATTATAAATGAACTTTAAATGTTAAGAAAGCTAAGAAAGAATTTAGAATAATAAAACTAATTAATTATACTTCTAGTTTTTATGTTTTTTCAAACAATAGGAAATATTTTAAATCATTTTTTTTTGCTTTATATCATAAATATTTCATATTAATCATTTTCTTAACATTACATAAGCGAACTCAAAATTTCACGTTAACAAAGACGCGGAGGAAGATGTGAGTCGTTATTATAAGCTAGGCGAAATTACTGGAACGGTGAAAAATTATCGAGCACTCTAATGGAACATTTATTCCGCCCCTTTCAAGTCCCGGAAGCGGCCAAAGCCGCATGTAAATTGCGCGCAGATCGTACGTGGTAACATGACAATTACTCGTGATAGAAATCTGTTGAAACGTTACAATACGAGGGCGGTCGATGCTTTCCCAACCCCATAATCCTACTATCGCGTACAATAAATCGTTCATGGAGATTACTGTTGCGCGGACAAATTCTTCGCGATCTAACGTAGCGTGTCGGTTTTACGACCGACTTTCTTGCCACGGAGTTTTACAAAAGCCGGATTTTCAAGATCAACGTGATCAATCGATGGATTCTTCCCATAAATTGGCGTCGTATATTCCAACAAAAAATCTTTTATACGAAATCGATTTTCAAGCGAGGGTATATTTTGCAATAGATGCAAATTTTTTAAATTATACTCTTTTAATGGATAAAGCTTGTCGTACAGAAATTGAAAATAATCCATTACACTAATATTAAAAAATTGACAAAAATTTGTACAATTAAAAATATACACTTTGATACTAAATACATTTCAGGCAGCATCATATAACAGTTTGTCTGACAAAGTAAAAAACTTTCTGCTTTCATTAAAATATATTATTAATGTAAAATAATTCGAATGCAAAATTAATTTCGTCGCTATTTTAAAATTGTGATTCTCATACTGTACATTTTTTTACTCTTGTTAGCTTGTGTTTATATATATATATATATGTATATTAAAAAATATTATTTTATTATTTTTCTCTTATAATAAGTGTACATACACTGAGAAAAAAAAGTTGTTAACTTGACTAAATTATTCAACTAATTACTATTTTGTTAATTAAACATATAAAGTATTTAAATTAAATACAACATATTAAATCTAAAACTTGGTGTATTTGACTTATACTTATATATATATATATATATATATATATATATGTACATATATATATTCAATTAACAAAATAAAAATTAGTTGAACGCATCTAACAATAAATTAAATACAACATATTAAATCTAACTTACTATATTTGACTTATATATATTTAATTAACAAAATAATAATCAGTTGAACGCATTTAGTCAAATTAACAACTTTTTTCTCAAATATATATACAATTTAATATTATTACATTATTACAAAATTGACTTTTCTTGTTCCTTTTACGCTTTCCTAAAAAAAAAAAAAAAAAGAAAAATTACGAAAGTGACTTTTGCACTTATGTAGAAATCCGTCATATTTTTTTATCCCTCGATATACATACAATGGTATCCGAAACGATCGTCATCGTCGAGGGAAACGTCGGCTACGAAAGAGACTAGGAGCCCTGGGATTTATATCCGAGTTGTGCTATATTTAGTGAGTCTAAATACTAGAAAGCTCTACCTACGAGCGAGTTTCTCTCGCGTCCCCGTGCCTGGTATCGCGACACTTGTAAACTTGTCTGTGTTTTAATCGTCTCCGCCGTGGCCTCTTTACACGATACAATCGCACTCGGACCGCGATATACTCGCGAATGAATCGTGTACACTTTGTGCTCGGTTTTCCTCGTTTCATCCGTGTCATTTTGTCAACGAGGCATTGTTTTCGAGAACAAATGTGTTGCACATCTCGCAACACAAGTTCTCAATTTTACAAAAGAGAAAACATGTCAATATATCACTTCAATTATTTTCTGAAGGTGGTTGGGAAGAGAGAAATTTTTTTAAATTAATTATTTATATACCATTCTGCAAAACTCACATTGAAAAGAATTATTAAATTAATAAATATTTATTTCAATACTGCCTAATAAATTATTTATTTGAAATAAATAAATATTTATCTGTTTCGAAAAGGATTTTCTTATATCAAATAAATATTTTTCACATCAAATCAATATTATTAGTTTCAAATAAATGATTTATTAGGCAGTATTGAAATAAATATTTATTTGAATTCAATACATTTTTTTTTCAGTGGTATGATTGAGAGAATCTTGTAATTTAGAATGATAAAATAAACTGCAATGGATATACAAAGATAGCCTCATAGTATAAAATAAATAAATATCAGACATATAACTAGAAATGAGTCATATTTCACAAAATCCTGCGAGAGAGAAATTCACATAATAACATTAATGTGCCGCGTTAATTTTGTAATTAAAAAATTTTAATGCAGCGCTCTCTATACGCGCATAAGAATTTAATTTATTTTATTAATATTCAATTTATCTCGTTTCAATTCGACGTTTACAATAATGTGTGCACATAGCATATATAATATTTTATTTGTCATATAGTGAAGCAAATTAATGCATTTGCAACAACATATGTAAATTAAGCGCGTCAAGGCGCATAATTAAATTTATATCAAATTAAGCCTACAAACAATTATATTAAGGATAATACATTTAAAAGCGTCAATACTAAACGTGAATTTCTTCCTCTATTTTTCCTATCCTTTTTCTTCGCAACAAAATTACTTATCAATTGAAAATTATTTATATATTAATATAAATTAAGAGATAAAGGGATGTGACAATAAGTTACTTCCATATATTAATTGAATGCGTCAGATAAATGAGAATTAACATCTGGTCTGTTCTTTGTATTCCTAGTACTAGTAGACGTATAACGTGGATCCTTTATATACGTGACAATCAAATCTAATACATAATCCGTGTCCGAAGTGCGACGAGGCAAGTATTCAGAAACAGCATGATCCTTCCCATTCGAGCTCGTGGCATTTAACCAAGATTGATCCCGAGATTTCATCCCGTTATTCCCATGATACCCAGTTTCGTTTATCCGAAAGATCACGACCGCAGCTCGACATTATTCGCTAATCCTATCATCCGCGTTCACCGTACGCGACATATATATATATATATATATATATATATGTGTGTGTGTGTGTGTGTGTGTGTGACATATGTATATAATGTATAGCGTTTCGTTTCGAGTCGCTTCTGCCGAACTTCGGCATTCGCTGAATTATACAGCGTGAAGAATCCTCGGCCGTGAGAATAAATGATTCACGCCGCGAAAATCACTCGCGAACAGTTTCGAATTACCGAAACCGTCCCAGATGTCGAGGCGCGTGAATTCTCGCCAGCATATTTCATCCCTCTCCTTCCCAATCCTTCCATCCCTATCAGCCCTCAAGCGTAGCGGCAGGAGAGCTGACTCGATTTGCATGTCTCACGCGATTTGGTGA